ATCCTATGATAATTAAGACAAGATTATAAACACGCGTACGCGTATATTAATATATATATATATATGTGTGTGTGTGTGTGTGTGTCTATGTGTTTGAAAGAGATCAATTTAAAGGTAAAAAAATTATTTATATAAAAATTGTTTAATTAATTAATTAATTACTTAATTTGAAATGAATTATATTATTGAAGATATAATTTATATTTAAATAATTCGTTTTAATAGAATTTTTTTCTTAAAACTTTTTTCTTCTCCCTCTCTCTCTCTCTCTCTCTCTCTCTCTCTCTCTCTCTTTCTCTCTCTCTATCAATCTATCTATCCATCTATCTATCTATCTTTTTTTTTTTCTTTACATCTTTTTCTTTACTTCGTCTTAACGATTTCCAAGCTCGTCATGAAGAACGAAACGGAAATTTAAGGGACGTAGAAACGAAAGGCAGAGATTTATATTACTCTACGTGGAAGAACGTAGTTCGAAAGAAGGAGAGGCGAGAGTTAGTTTTATGGCATGCGTTACATTAGTTGAAGCTCATTTCCCACGACGAGAGGAAGATATCGTCAAGAGAAAGAAAAAGAGAAAGAGAGAGAGGGTGAAGTTTGTTTAATGAGGATGTACGTACCTCCCTGTCCCAACCACTACGTTTCAAAAAATTATATCTAATCTTATATATCATACTTGCATATATATATATATATATATATATATATAGAGAGAGAGAGAGAGAGAGAGAGAGAGACGAAGACGTTTCGCGGAGAACTTTAATTTTGTATTAAAGCAAATTTTTAGCAAAATTTTTATATATATATATATATTTAAATTTGTCGTCAAATTGAAAGGCTTCGAAGTATAGTAATAATAATAATAATAATAATAATAATAATGATAATAACAATTAGTATGATAAGGATTGATAAAGACCACCATGCTCGACAATTCCTAAGAGTAAAACTTTCGAGAGACATAAAACTGCTATCGCATTTCCGACGTCAAAGATATATATGGGTTACTCGGTATATATTAAGATGAATATATAGCATATAAGGATAGAGAGAAAGAAAAGAAAGAAAAATGATAAATTTCATGTTTTTTCACATTGGGCATAAGAAACCAAGAGGGGGAAGAATATACAGATTTTTTTATCATATTTTATCTCGTTTAGCTCATTTACGATCTAATTCCGCAGGTGACAACGGGAAAGAGGGAGAATGAGCTTCCGGTCCACCTTATATTTACAGAGCTAAGCAAAGCTTCTGACTCTGTTCACTTCCTTTTTTTCCATACGACTGCGAGGATTTCTTTTCTTTCTTTCTTTCTTTCTTTCTTTTTTTTTTTTTTTTTTAATGTTCTCTTCTACGTCGTGGAAAAGAAAAGAAAAGAAAAAGATTGTAATCGAGAAAGTAACCGAGGTGTCTCGAAGAAAAGAAATTTTATTAAAAGCTCTTATATTTCGATATATGCGTCTATTACGTCTGATCAAATTTCATTTCTACTTTTATTTATTCGCCCGAATACAGGCAACACTCTTTGCATTGTCTTTTCGAGCGCCATCTATTGATCGACGTTTTTTGTTTTGTTCTCAAGTGCCTCGCAATAGGCAACCCTTTCGTCGCTGGTATAACAGAAAATTTTTTTATCTACATATAGGCGAGGAGAAAACATTGAAAACTTTTTTATCGACGTACCGTCGATAAGCGCGATTCTTTCATTATCGACAAGTATAAAGCGATGCCTACTTTCAGGCGTCGATATAATAATTGCGAATAAATTTTATTGTTTCTCTTATCGAATCAAAAAAAAAAGAAAATTAATAAATAAATAAATATTATTTTCGTTTAGGTTACGACTGGACGTTACTTCCAGTTACTTCCCGTGCCGGGAGTCGTAGGAGCGCACACGTGAAACGACCGATGAACGCTTTTATGGTTTGGGCACAGGCAGCAAGACGAAGATTGGCCGATCAGTATCCTCAATTGCATAATGCCGAATTATCGAAAACTTTGGGAAAATTATGGAGGTAATTATTTCGAAACAACAAGACGTTACTTTTTCTTCCTTTTCTATCTCATTTCTTTTTTCCTGTCTTTTCTTTTCTTTTTCCTTTTCTTTTCGATAGAATTTTAAGCGACGGCGAGAAGCAACCATTCATCGAGGAAGCCGAGAGACTTAGGAACGCTCATAAAAAGCAACACCCACATTACAAGGTTTACAAAATAGATAAAAATCAATATCCCCCACCCCCCCCCCATCCCCCGAATGCATTAATTAAAAATCCCCTTGAATTTCGTATTATTCATAAATTTTTCAGTATCAGCCACGACGTAGAAAACCAAAATCGGACGAGCAATTGATCAATCCGATTAATCGTGGTTTATCATCGGTCGTTACGCCATTGGAAACTAACGTTCCAATTACGACGGATTGTAATTACGCACGTTTATACACAGAGAACGAAAATATTAAGATTTACGATAGACCGACAACTACAACGTATCAGGATAC